CTGAGGAGGAGGTGAGGGGGCTGTGCTGAGGAGGAGGTGAGGGGGCTGTACTGAGGAGGAGGTGAGGGGGCTGTGCTGAGGACGAGGTGAGGGGCTGTCCTGAGGAGGTGAGGGCGCTGTACTGAGGAGGAGGTGTGTGAGGGGCTGTGCAGAGGAGGAGGTGTGTGAGCGGGCTCTGCTGAGATGAGGCTGGGGATAAACTGGGTGAAGGTTTGAGGTCTCTACTGGTGGAGACGTGGGAGTTGTACTGAGGACACATGGGGTGCTTCCTGAAGGTGCGTTGTGGAGGTTGTGCTGGGATGATGGGGGCGGTACTGCCTTGCAGCAGGTGTTCCTGTGTGGACACTGGCCTGGACCCCGAGTCCATCAAGGACTTCTCAGTCAGCTATGGTCAGGTGCTGAGGCTCCTCTCAGCTGTAACATGGAGAAACCTCACCTCTGCAGCATGACTGAGGTGGAGGCAGGTGTAACATGTCATCTGGCCCCTCCTGTCTGGTTCCCCTGGAGTGTACCTGGTCCAGACCTGAGTCAGCCTGTGGCTGGCAGCAAGTCTGCAAACGAAAGGGGCTGTGAGAATCCCATAGTCAGGCAGCCTGGCAGCTCAGAGCCTCAAGGGGAGGGGCACAAAGGACTGAGCCTCAGGCTTGCTGAGCGCTCTGGAGGTGGCCTGGTGCTGTGGTTGGGTTCCTGGAAACCTGGGGTGTGGCGTGGTGTTCCGGGGCCTCCTGCCAAGGGTGGTCATGGATGACGCCTCTACTCTACACTTGGCTGGTCAAGCCTGCCCTGGGTACCCCCCGCGTGGCTGCATCATGGAACGCTCTGGAGATGTGCCCCTTGACCTCCCATGACCAGCAGCATGGAGCACTGAGCAAACTGTGGTGATAGATAAGCTTTTGTTCTGCAATCTGTAGGTAACAGGTCATGGCTGGCCTTAGGAAGCAGCTCTACGGCTGGACAAGTGAGTGATTGTCCATCTCTGGGGCTTGGATGAGGGCAGAGTGGTCACCCTGTGCTTTTCTAGTCCAAGTGTCTGGGACCCTGACTGTCCACCTGGCTGGTTCCCTGCACTGCCTTGCACCCACTTGGGTAGGGTCCCCTTCTACCTTCTACCTTCTGCCCGCCACCTGAGCTGTCTCTCCTGCTTTGCAACATCTCTTCCTGCAGACCCTCATGTGGCCTGAGAAGGGTGCTTCCAAGCCCAACTACAAGAGTGGGCATTCCCCTTTGGGGCATGGCTGTAGCTTCGTTGGCAGAAGGCTTGGGGGAGGATGTTGGCAAAAACAGTTCCTTCCAGAAGGTTCTAGAAGAGTAACTAGGCAAGAAGACCTGAAGCCCTGGGCCTGGCCCTAGTCCTCACTTGGATATTAGAGGCCGTTACCGTCCCCTGACTGGGTGGGAGAGGGACTGAACACACTGTCCACACGTCCTGGCCTGATCTCACTCACTGGGCCCACCTGAGTCAGACATGCCATTCTGGGGAAGAGAGACGTAAGTCTCACCCTTTTACTGGGCAGAGCTAAAGGCCATGGATCAAATGTTGACTTATGTGGTTTCTAGTATTTTCCGGCTTGTATTTC